AAGAAGAAGAAGAGAAGAAGAAGAAGAGAAGAAGAAGAAGAAGAAGATGATGATGATGATGATGATGATGATAGGGAGCCAAGGAATTGAGTGGGACTGATTACTGAATTCAGGGACCAAGGAAGGTTAAGAAGTTCAATATATTCAGTTCATACACAATGATTAAAGAAACTTGGAAAGAAATGAAATGTGAAAACTCTGAAGTTGAAAGGGAAGGCCCTCTGAAGGGATTTCAATAGAGAATTTGGTGTCTTGGGAAGCTGATGTGACTCAGAACTGGATCCTTCACAGACTTTCCCTACAGAATGAAGTAAACATCATCTGAGCCCTTGGGTTGACATTCTAATGATCCAGGTTCTTGGGGATTGGTCCAGCAGGCTTGGCTGACAGAAGGTGAGTTAGGATGACGGAAGACTCAGGGTACGGAGTGTGTGGGACTGATTTACTCTCAGTCTTGGTGTCATTTATTGTCAAGTAATGGATAATGAACTGATAATCTCCTTCATGGTTCATTGAGAAATGTCGCATATCCTCAATTAAGTTTGTTCCCACAGCCTCAGCAATCCAGGGTGTCTTCACCACCATCTGGTGGTTTGATTTGTAATATGAAGCCCTTGGGATGTCATCAAGGAAGGCAACAATAATGACATCAGAGATTGTTTGGGATGTGCCCACTGCAGTGTGTTTTATTTCATGCTTGTGGTGGACTGAAAGTCAAGATGAGAGAGAAGGAAAAGAGGGGTCAGATATGAGAGGTGCTCAGCTTAGAATCTCCTCACACCCATCCACCTCCCACTATTACTTTTCATTATTTATATATGAAATCAGGGTTTTGGAGCAGGCTCAGATCACATGAAGGAGGGAGAAGATATCTGGGAGAAGATATCCTTCATTTCTCTATCACGTGAATGAGAGAAGCCTTCTTTGATGGAAAGTGTAGCTAGAACAGGTTGTGTTGTTCACACTGCCAGACTGGGATGGTCATGTTCTCCTTGCTGCATACTTTTTGCTGCTTAGTATCCAGAGATGATGATCCCACCACAGTATGGGCATAATGAACAAAACTGGTGCAGGGGGAAGCCCTCCTTTGTCCTTTTAGGACCCATGGTCCTGGAAAATGGCAGTGACATTTCCATTTTTTCTGGTCCTCTCTGTTTCAAATACAAGAGGTAGAAAACCAAGCCATGATGACCTTAGAGATAAGATTCCAGGTTGGATATACAGCTAGCCAATCCCAGAATGTAAACTCTGAGAAGTCAGTGTACTTGGGACTCTAGCCCAAAGGCATCTTTGTATTTGGAACTTGGGAATGTACAATACAGGAATTAAGTTAAACTATGAATTCAATCCCAATTCCCCCCCCCACCCCAGATTATGAGGTGGTGCAAGGGAGAATTATGTTTCCTAAACTGAGGAATAAATTTGCCTATTTGTTATGCCTTTGAAATAAATGTTCCTTGGTAAAAGCTAATCTGAGTGTTAAGTAGTTAAATGGAACTGGGTTGCAGAAATTTCCCCCCTACAATTGAAGGAACACCATTGGTGGAGGCTGCAGCCATCGGCAGAGCACCTAGATAAATCCAAAAGCCTTAAGGGTACTAGAGAACCCTGAAGGAGGTGTGGAATATAACACACCTGGCTTTCAGGAAGTGGAGCTGGGGCAATCACTGTTGCACATATATAAGGTGAGGAATTCCAGATCTTTTCCAGGAGAGCATTCCAGAAAAAAAATATGCAGACTGCCAACCTTCCAATCAGGACCTGTCACAAGACTGAACACAAATCAAGATCAGTAAGAAGTGACCATATTATAAAGGGCTCTGAATGCCAAAGAGTTTATTGACTAAGGGGACTGACAAGGTCAGATTGTTGTTTAGGAAGATTAATTTGGCATCTGAGTGGAAAGGATGAACTAGAATCAGGAGAGACATGAAGCAGGAAAAAAGAGACAGTTATTACAATAGTCAAGGTGTGAAATGATGAGGACTTACATCAGTAGGGTGGTAGTGTCAGAGGAGAGAAGGGGGCATATACAAGAAATGTTCTAGAGGTAAAATTGACAGGACTTGACAATAGTCCTGGGGAGTGAGAGAGAGTTAGCTGTTGAGGATGGTGCTTAGGTTGTAAGCCTGAGTGACTGCTTTGATACTGATCCCCTCAACAGTGGTACAGATGTTTAGAAGGGGAAGGCTTTGGGGGGGAAGATAATGAGTTCCGCTTTGGACATGTTGAGTTTAAAAAGCCTTCTGGACATCCAGTTGGAGATGTCTAAAAGACTTTTGGAGATGAGGTACTAAAGGTCGAGAAAAAGGTAGGGGCTTGATAAGTAGTTCTGAGAATCATCAGCATAGAGATAATCATTGCATCCATGTGAGCTGGTGGGATCACCAAGTGAAATAAATCCACATTAATTGATAGACTGAATCTCTGAGATAAATGGGAATGCCCTTCATATCTCACTGCCTTTGAACAATATCTCCTTTCTGATAATCAGGGACTAGCCTTGGCCAATGGAGGTCCTCCCAGACCCAACCAGGATTAGCCTTTGGTACTAGGAGTGACTTTTTCTAGGATTCATGGATCTCAACAAAAATCTGCCCCACTCCACCTTCTCCCTGGTGTATCTGAGACCCCAGTGAATCATATTCCTGCTTCAGTCTGCCCTGGTTAAACATTGGAGACATCTTTGTGTCAAAAAGTGGTGGTTTATGCAATACAATATTGGACCAAGGTAAACAAAACTTTAAAATAACCAGCCATACCTGTGATTTCATTAGCACAGGAACTACCTGTAAAATAACTCCCAATGCATGTGCTCTGCACCTTACTGTCAGAGAATTTCCTGGGGCACTGGGAAGTTCAATGACTTACCCATACTCACATATCTAATATGTATCAGAGGTGGCACTGAAGGCCAAGGCTTCTTGACTGAGAGGCTAGCTCTGTATTCGTTATTCCCTACTATCTTTCATAAAGGACACATATCAGTTTTTAAAACATATTTCTGAATACAGAAAAAATGTTATAAGATAAGAACCCATGGCATTTATCACTGTAGACCCAGCCCTCAAGTGGGTACATTGGTATAGCCTCATTTCCTCCTCCCCATCTCTTTGGTCAGGCTCTCAAAGGGGCTCTTTGGTCCTTCCTCCTCCCCTCTTCAGGTATGACAGCCTGGACAGCTCCCATCCTGCCTTTCTCCCCTAGGCATGAGTCAAGCCCATCTCAGGAGATCTTTGAAATCTAATCACATTAAAGAAAGCTGTAGAACTCCCATTTCTCCATTATTTACACTGCCCTGACTGATGCAACAACTGTCTTCATTGATCCTTGTTGATTCTTGTTGAGAAATGGAAAAAAAAACCCGGAAGCTGTTCTTGAAAGGCAAAACCTCTGTCTTAGGTAAAAATTTTCCTTTCTCTAAAGACATTTCTCTGATTGACTCAGATTGGTTGGAGTCACTTGAATTTTATCTCCAGGAAACAAGGTAAGAGTTCTGTCCAGTTGCTCCAAGTTATATCCTTCCTTCTCTTCTCCTGCATATTTCCTCTGTCTATATCAAGTCTCCCCATCAGACTAGGAGTTCCTTGAGGTCATAATCAATGTCTCCTCTATCAGACGGGTAGTTCTCAGAGGTCTGACAACAGACAGTGTCTCCCTCACAAAAGGCCAGGTCATGAGGTCATTATCTGTGTCTCTCACATCAGACTAAATCTCCCAGTCAAGTCAAACCCAGAACTCTACATTCCCCTCCCACAACTTGCCCAGACTCACCTGTCTGGATTTTCCTCAGAGCAAACAGCATCACAATAAGTAGCCAGGATGAGAATGACCCTCTTCCCCTTCTCCAGTTCATCATGCTGCTCTGTATGTATCTGTTAGAGGCCTCAGAATCAACCCACTTAGGAAAACTATTAGTCCATAATGCCCCTCTGTCTAATGGTTCCTATGTAGGAAAAGAAGCCCCAAGACCTTCCTGGCTTTGATATTGACTCTGCCAAACCCCTGCCCTCCTATCACTGCCAGAGAGGACACCTGTCACCAGGCAGAACCTGCCTCTGTCTGGAAGGGGTAAAAGTGGAAGTCAAATGGAGCCTGTGGTGAGAGCAGGAAACCCTTGCCTGTCATCACTTTCAGGTATTGTTGGGGAACTGCAGAGTGGGGACTCACTGTGCCATGGGCACATCTGGCATTTGTAACTGTTAGTTGAATTAAAGACATGTTAGATGGCACAGAAAAGAGTGCTGGGCCTGGAGGCTGGAAGACCTGAGTTCAAACCTGCCTTAGACAATCCATAGCAATTCTCTTACCTCTGTGTCTCTGTTTCCTTATCTGTAAAATGTGGATAATAATTGCAACTGCCTCTCAGGGTTATATTGCTAAAATGAGTTGACATATATAAAGTACTTTGCAAACTTTAAATGCTTTATGAGTTATATTATTATTTCTGATCACAGAGATCCACCTTCATGGGGTCAATCCCCAGTCAAATGGGAGAGATGGTCCTGTCTTCAGGGAGTCCCTGTTCTAATGGGGAAACATTAGTGCCTGACCTCTGTGGTCCTTCAGTCTGAGAAAAGAGGCAAAGGATCTGCCTTCATGGAACCCCCAGTCTGAGGGACCAAACAATTGTTGCCTTCATGAAGTCTTCAGACTGAAGGCATCAACAGCTGTACATCATGGCATCACTGTTAAATATTGTTTTGAAAGCTACTTCTCAGCTCCCTAGATTCATTTCTAAAATTGAATCATGCTTGCCAGCTCACTGTGAGTCTGGCTTCTCCTCTCAAAGGGTGCCCCATCCTGCCTCACCCCTGTGTTTGAGCCTGAGTCCCCACTGGCCTTGGATAAGGTGGTTTGGGGCTCATCTCTGGGCATCAATCATCACAATTGAGTGACTCCAGAAATTTTCCCTTGTGTCTCTCCTTCTTTACAATTGCCTTCTTCTATCTCTCCCTGGACTTCATGCCAACAGCTCAAACCCAGCTCAATAAATATTTATTAGTACCAAATCATAGCGAGGGCACTGCACTATCCTTTGAGAATTCAAAGACACAAAATGAAAACATCCCTCCTCTCAAGGACTTTACCTAATGGCAGAGGGAAATGAGACAGAAGAAAAAGAATAACCTCCTGAAAGGCAATGGACACGAGATACAGAAAGAGAAATTCGTCTTCAGATACAGCCCTTCTATCCATTCTTATTTGATTCACTACACTTTTTTTCTTAACAAGGGTCTTTATTTCTTTCTCTTTGTTTTTTTATGTGTGGAGAAGATTGGGGGTAGCAATATTTTTACCCTCTCCACCCCCACTCCCAAAGAGTCATTGGAACATTTTTCTCCATAGGCTGAAGTCATTCAGTCAGCAAGTATTTATTGAGTATTTACTATATGTCAAGCAATGTGTTTTTAAGCCTCGCAAATACAATTAGATACAGAAAGAGACAGTCGCTGGCCCCAAGAAGCTTACTTTCTAATGGGGACAGACAACACAGAGAAGGAAGTTGAAAAGGAGAAAGGAGCAGAGAGAAAAGAAGGAACTTCAAAGGAAAGCCCAGAAAACAGGACAGCTGTGGAAATTTCCTTGTTTCAGCTAGGCTGGCTGGCTTACCCCTTCTGCCCAGTTGGTGGGCACCAGGTGGGGTAGGAGAGGGAATAGTGAGTCTCTTCTCTCCAAGGAACCTACTCCCCTTTCTCCCTTTATGGAGGCTACCAGTCTGGAAACAGGGCTGGTGCTCTAAGAGGTGCAGGGCAGGCACTGCTATCTTTAGGACTCTTGGGTTTACATGCCAGTGGGGAAGACATTGTCCCTGGACTTGTGGAGATCCTTATTTTATAATCATAGATACTTCTACATGTCTGTCC